ACTACTTAGTTAAAATCCCCAAAAACCAAATGAAAGTGGCCCAAGAGAGGATTGGCCCAGCCCATGACAAATAAACTGAGTACAATTTTCTGGTCCTCCCCAAGATTTTGGGGGCTGATCATCTGAAAAAATGTTGCTATCTTTGAGATCACACTCACAGATAATTCTTTACCGATAACGTTGAGGCAAATGCACCGGCTTGACAAAGGTAATAGTGGTTTTTAGACGTGTAATCACTTTTCTTAAGGTGTTATTTTTCCACACTCTAATTAAGTTTGCTATCAAGTTTCATAGCAAAACACCTTCATGATACAATTAACAAAACAGGAATCTGCAATTAGCAATACTAAAGAATTCCATTAAATGAACTGTTTATAAATATGACTAAAAATAGTAACACTCAAAGAGATATAGAGAGAGAATTATATATCATGTTGTACATAATTTCCGAACCAAATACCCATTTTATAGAGTATGAATATGACTATTCATGAATATGTACAACTCTTTATGAATGTTTGGTATTTCAACCGTAAACTTTTCATTCCTCTCCTTCTTTATATTACAATATATCTGAAGGGGCAGATCCATCAGGCCCAATAAGAGAGAATTCTTCCAAGCCCATTGTCACTGTCCAGCCCAAAAAAGAGACCAGGTCTAAGAAGAGGCCATCTGGGCCCATGCTAGATATGCGAGGAATTAGGCCCGAATGGAATTGAGCCCATGAAACCCAACACCTGGAAGTCAAAAAAGGAACTAGGACAAGAAAGGTAAGGAACTATATAAATAAAAGGAGGAGTGAAAATAGAAAGGATCTGTTTTTTTAGGTGATATTTTGTACCTACGATGTCTAACAGATAATAGCAGTGAAGTCCTTGATCATGCCCTTGAAAAACTTTCAAAGATTTAACAGCACTTGTTTTGGTTGGATCTGCAAGACATTTTTCGGAAATGCTGACTTTGTTAACAAGCAGATCGAGGCACAAATCAGTCTTTATTATCAAGAAATTAACAAAACAAAGAATGCATGCATCTAAAGCTAGGCAAAATTATTTGGAAGCCAACTTCCTATCATGGCTCTTTTGCTAGGCATGGCATGTATTCATAAATTGAAACCATTTTTATTTATTCTTCAATCTATACTAGTAGTAGTACTCCAGAAGTCTAACAAGGTTCCTATGTTGATTATTATATTTTTTTTTTTTTTTGTTTTTGAAAGTTTCCTATGTTGAAATTTGGAATGAATAACCTCATTTTCAAACTCCAACAATAATCGTTGTCCAGATAATATATAGTTTCTTCACTGTCCTGTCCATTTGGAATTTCCCTAGAATATCAATGGAATCATTGTCCAGATAATAGTTTCTTTACTGTCCTGTCCATTTGGAATTTTCCCAGAATATCAATGGGCCGGTGATGAGTTAGTTGATATTCGAGTATCATATTTCATCCCATCCATAATGGAAACCACTACTGGATTCTTATTTTTTATTTTTCTATAATTTACATAGACATTTGTCGCCTTTTATAATTAAGGAATCAAACCCTCCTTCCCCAAGTTTATTTGCTACCTTAGAGTTGTTTGTATGCTTAGTATTACAGAATATTACAAAATCCATGTATTCAACATAACACAGTGAGACTCATATAACATTGATTCTGTAATATTATGTATTTTGAAGTATCCCCAAATGTAAGGTTCAGTTCTTGCTTTCGAAATTTTGCATTTGAGGAATCCGCTGCCTTAATTAGTTGAGGGACATTTACAATCCACCTTAATTATGGTTTAACTAGTGTTAGTTCAGGGTAGAGCAAGATACACAGTGTCCTAAGCTGCATATATATATATGTATATAGCACTCTGATAGGCCAACAATTTGAAGCTTCTGCATTTTCTGAATAATAATTTTTCATTCTCTGTATATAATTATTAAATTTATAGTATTTCATGGTTTGCATGGCAGAAACTATGAGAGAAATTAAACGGTGACACATGCAGCACAATTACACTAATCTTCCTCAAGATAGAGAGCAATTACACTTCCCCGTTTGACAGTGTCTAATAATATGGTAAAGCATCAGATACGATCCAGTGTCCCATGTACAAGCATTTTGCATGTGGCCAAACACTAGGGCCAAGATTGCATCTTAAATTTACCCTCTCTTTTTTCTTTTTTCTTTTTTTCTTTTTTTTTTTCTTTGGAGATCGATAGAGCTGGTTTAGCTACGTAAATTTGAAGATGAGAATGATCAAGGTTTTCAGTGCATAGTGATCAGATATATGTTAGATATATATGGTATTGGATTTATGTATGAAGCTACAACTTTAGATTTAGATTCACAAAACACAAACACATCAACATCGATCTACTAGTTACATCACATCAGTGTAGGTCTCGTGCTTCTTTATTCTTCAAAATTAATTCACTCAAGTATGTACTTGCTTATAAGATAGCACATACGATGATGATTGTATGTGTACTTATACTGAGGGAGGAAACTGCACTGAAATTTCCTCTTGTCCAAGATATGCGACAAAACACCAACCAAATATTTTTCAGTTCCCACACCTTCACCTTCACAGATTCTTCACTTTTAACGTTTTTAATGAAAAAATAAAAAAAAAAATACTGCTGCTGATTGTTATGTTACCTCACTCAAGAAGCTTCCTCGAACCTAAATTATCATAAAAAAGACTGGTGAAGGAGGGCTAGATGTGTGCCCCAAATTAGTGGAAAAAGAAAGTGATATTTGAACTCGATCGTTTACTCATTTGATTTTTTTTTTTTTTTTTTTCTTTTCTTATACAAATAAAACAAAATGGCATAATGACTCATCAGAATTGAAGTTTAAGGGCATTTTTAGAAATAATTGCTGAGTTTGAGACCAGCACCTACTTGTGATTGAAAGATAATGATGTAATTTCATTGATTTAGGAAGTTAGGTTTATTGATTTGTTTGAGTAGACAGCATGTCATAATAATAAATAGAACAGATCGAATAGGAGGATATTAATCAAATTGACAGTATAGTACGGGGGGGTACGTACGTGCAGGTAAAATTTGTACTCAAGTGATAAGAGAGATCCAGCTAAATTTTGTATAAGTTACAGGATATATCAACTACAACTGGATTCAATTCCCATGGAACAAAAGTCCAATAAATGCGGCTTTGGGATCTAATACTTTGAAATTTTGATCCCAGTAAAGTATCAATTGGTAGTGTCTTTTTCGGATTAGATTGATAGACTGATTAATTAGTTCGCCACTCATTTCACATGCTGAAGATATAAAGCTTCTAACTTTTTTTCTTTTTTTCTTTTTTTTTTTATAGAAAAAATGATTCTCCTGAATGTTATTTTTCAATTGTTAGATGCAATTGTATGGACTTAGAAGCCGAGCGAATTCCTCGGCTTATATAGCAGAGTTCTTTTTGAAGAGGCGAGATAATCACATTGGCCGAATATCGTGATAGTGAAGAGGGTCTTTTATAAAGACCAACCATTAATGAAACATAAAATAAACAACATAAATATATATACACATATAGAATCATGGTTTGGATTTGAATCTGGATCCTCTTCAATGCCTTTATCCAATGCATTTTCAATGATAGGAAAAAAACGAAGTGAGTGTCATATTATCATTTGTGTAACTGTATTCACAGGGTGGGGAAAAAAAAAAAAAATGTAAGTGTATTCACTGTGTTACGTACAAACAAAAATAATTATGTGATATTTTTTATGACATTTAGATTACACTTATACATGAGAGTCTTAAAATTTCTGAACTAATGAATTAACTCACTTATTAAATGATTCATTTGATTTTTTATAAATCTCTCTCAATTCAATAGTTAAATAAAGATGTGAGTGTTTATCATATGAGGACATTCATGATAACATTACTCTTAAACAAGGAATCAGAGCCAAAAATTTTAAGTTGGAGGTCGGATTTGTACTATGTAACTAAAGTTTGAAAATTTTATAAATCAATTGTAATATGATTTTTTATAAATGCTAGTCATAGTATATATACTTTGAGAAGATTTAAAAATGAGAAAAATAAAACTTAATAATAGACGAAAAATTGATATTAGAAAGGAAAATATAGAGAAAAATAGATGAGTTACAATTAAAAAGATAAGATGTACATAAATAAGTATTATTAGATGATCAAAATTTCTTTATCAATTGTTTCAGTTTTTCAAAATCTAATTTTTGCAAGAAAAATTTTAAGTACTTTGATTTCACTTGGGAAATATATACCTAGATGAAAGATTAGAAAAAAATAATTAATTTTAACTAAATAAAATAATTTTAAATTAAACAAAATGTCAATAACGATTGTTATATAATTTTAGATATTTTTCTTGTAGTTATCATTGTACAAAAATGTTTGACAAAAAATGCTTAAAGCTTTTTTATTAAACATGATGGAACATTATTGATTTTTATCCATTTTTTTCCTCTCTTGAATTAATATTATAGATATTGTATGTAAATAAATTAACAACGTGTTATAATAACAACAATAATAATAACGAATTTCTTTACAATATTAGAGTTTTTAAAAGCATGGTTAAAAAGTTTCAAGTAGAATTTTTTTTTAAATTTTAATAAGACACATACTAAATTTATTTTTGAACTCTCTCTTTGGAGGTTAATTTTCAAACTCTCTACTTTGGGTAATTGTTTTGAAAAAATTGGAGGGCCAATTGAAATTTTTAATGATATTTAAGAGTAATATTTATAAATTAATTAATATTTAAGGAATAGTATTAAAAAAATTCAAAAAGCATGGGGCCCTGGCCCCTAGCTCCGTCCTCGCTCTTAAATGTAGTCCTTGAGATCATCGGAGAAAAAGAGTATCGGAGAAGATGCACGTCCCTTTCTAGCTAGCTACCATGACATCCACGAGTTATGGCTTTTATGTAATTATTGACTAGGCTGAGTTTATTTATTTATATAGAATGAAGATTCTCAAAGCCATGCAATTTCGAGGAAAGTGATCGTCCGACCGGAATGCAACCAAAGGAAGTTGCCCGAAGCTCACAACAAACCCTGTTTAATTTTCTTATATATTTCGATCTTTTGTTAGCTTCAATACCTACTCTCCTCGATCTCTTATTTAATCACCATCTCTATCTCTTTTTCAAAAACATTTTACACTAGCTACTAGCTTACACAGTTACACACTACGTACTCTTTGGTGGAAGTAACATATTATTAAAGCAAGGTCGAGTACTAACAATGGCAGCTTTTCATGATGATCCATTTCTGTTTGAAGACTACTTTCCATCGATGATCGAGAGATTGGGTTCGGATGGGTTCATGGGGGAGCTATGCAATGGGTTTTGTCTGCTGATGGATGTGGAGAAGGGACTGATCACATTCGAGAGCTTGAGGAGATGCACATTTCTGCTGGGATTGAATGAGATGGGAGATGACGAGATTGTGTACATGCTGAGAGAAGGAGACTTGGATGGAGACGGAGCTCTGAATCAGATGGAGTTCTGCATTCTCATGTTCAGGTTGAGTCCCGGGTTGATGGACGGATCCCATAGATGGATGGACGAGATGGGTGTATTGGTGTAACTCTGTACGTGTAAATTGATCATATATGTATTTGTGATCTCTCATCATGTACTATTTTTAATCTCAACTTTCAGAATTTGGGTTGAAATAAAAGATGCTTTTTAACTTTTCAGTATGGTGCATTTTTTTGTGATTTTGGACTAGCATAACTAGACATGTAATTAGATAGAGATCATAGTGTGCACACTCTGTAGGTGTGTTGAAGTGTCATCATAACTTTTGATGCTGCTACCAATTCAGATTTCATGATGGTATTACTCTTTTACCAGTCTGGTATTGTCGAAAGCTAGCCGTACGAATTGTAGTAGAGAAGCGATTTCAAACCATTGTTAATATAATATAGTTTTAACTTGTAAGAAACACTTTTATCAATTATATTAATTAGTTGAAACCATTGCATCGATCTATCTTTCATGCATGTTGGTGCTGTTAACCTAAGGTCGTTTCGTTTGCGTACGTATTTCTTTCCCGTGACATGAGAACCTTCCGGGTAATGAGTGTTGCATGGCTCCCTCGGATCATTTTGGAATGTGTGCACTTTTTTTTTCTTTTGGTAATTTGTGCATGTGCAGAAAATTTTATTTTATTGATTTTCCAACACTCATTACACAGACAGGAAAAGTTGGGGGAACCAAAGATTTTTATTGTATTGATTTTATAAATATCTTGACTATGTATCATCTTTACATAAAAGATATTCTTCTGATTCAACTGCTTTAAGGATCCAAAATTAAGGTTTACACAAGCTTATTTTTGAATTACATAATTTTGAAATTAAACTTTCTTCAAATTTATCAATAACCTAGCGATACCAAAACCTTATTTTTTAAATGGAGATAAGGAATTTCAAGTCTCAGAAGTGCGTGAGTGAATTGCTCTAACTTATGAAAAAAAAAAAAAAAAAAAAAAAAAAAAAAAAAAAAAAATCAAACTTTCTTCAAACTTCTCAAAATGGACGAAAATTTAAAGATTCTTTTGATCAAAGGTATATCAAGTAGTACTAAAAAAAATTTGATATGCTTGTTGGTTTTCATCTTTGAAAGGCATAATTTGAGGGTACTCTTGTGAAGCGCAGTGGATTTCATGAAATTTCAGCATACTGTCTTGTGTTTTTTTCTTTTCTTCTTAACCTACATCCTCAATATGGTGGTACATTTCTCCACTTAACCTACCATATTGAGGAAGAAAGCTCTCCTCTCTAAAGGGACAAAAAGGGTACATAAATTAATTATTGATCCGCGCGCACTGGTTATCCAATAATGGTGTTAAAAGTGGATTCGATGAGCCGTGGATCACGTGTCCGAATGCTTTTGATCATTAGATGCAGCACTACACAAACCCACCGAATTCACGACCCTACTCTTTAATTGATGCAAGGTTAAATTGTAATATAGAGTCAAGGTATATATATATATATATATATATATATACACCGTTTGAAAGTCAAATGTGAATATGAAGAAAGATTGTTGATGTTTCCCAAACTATTTTTACTATTTTCAATGAGGTTGTACCATTTTTGTTTCTAAAGGTACCAATTTTTGTGCAAATCATTTTCAAGATTGGTAATAAAAATAATAATAATAAACTAAAATTTGATCATCGGTCGTGAAACCCTTCATGAGATAGGAGCTATTCCATCACTGGTCGTAGAGTTGGAATATGTCTACGGTATCAGCTTCTTTTTGTTTTTGCTTTCATAGATGGAGGGATGGGATGGTCTTCTATGGAAATCTCCTGGACCAGCCACATTGCAGCCCGTGATTTCAACGAAATGGGTATATTTGATGTAATTGGACTGGCCCATTTTCATGTAGTCCTTGCCAAAGCCCAACACTAGTTGCTTTTTACTTGTTTTTTTTTGGCAATACGAGCGAATTCTATAAACAGATGTTAGACAGTTACAGGTCATCTTACCACACCAATTAATAATTGATAAGCATTAGAATCTCATTCTTTTAAAATTGTATATAAACCATATATTGAACCCAACATTTTCAAAGTGTCAATTACTTCGTCATTGTGTTTTGAAATATTGAATCAGTCATTAGATGCACGTTAACGTGCATCTTTCTAACACTTGTTGGGTTTTAGGGGTTATGTTTGTTTTGTGCATTATCATTGTTCCGCGTTGAGATGGGGTTTTAGGTGAGTGGGGCTCACATCCCATTCTGTGTACGTCGAACCTTCTCCCTTCCTTCACCGGTCTTCATACAGAGTACCCGTCTGTGTCTGTGTCTGTGTCAAACATAAGTTGTGGCTTTAGCGAGGACATATCACCCCACGTGAGTAACATCATCATATATGCTAAAACAATGGATTGTAGGGTGCCAAATGGAATGTATTCACGTGGGTACACCAACCAATGGAGCCCATACTATTTTTTTATTTTTCCAAACTCATCCCTCCCATACATTACATCTATTTGGTTTTGTTGATCTTATCCACACTAAAGTGATGTAGTACTGTAACAGTATGGATATGGATAATTATAGAATATAAAAAGGGGCGAGACACATGTAAGTGTGGGGTCAAGTGCCAAGTCATATGCATAATGGAACATCCTTCATGCGGGCATCACGTGGCTCACGGCTTTACGTGGACAAGAGATTGCCATGTAGGCCAAGGTTGAAAATGGACCATGTCTCTGAGCAGTCATCAACAAATGCGGCTCCTCTAGAAAATATGAGTGTGTTGGTAAAACGACGAACCTAAACACCGTCTCCAATATACGTGGCATACAAGTAGATGAACAAAAAAGAATAGGATCAAACCTTCAACCAAGGACAAGTGTCAATTTGGTGTAGTGATAAAATTCCCACACCCCATCTATATCTATTCACATGCTACCTAACCCACTCAAGCTCAAGTAACAAGCATACTTCATCCCCTTGCCAATACAGCCGGTGACGAAATTCTAGAGAGCGAAGCGATGAAGGGGTGCGAGCTGTGTAGATTTCCGGCGAGGATGTACTGCGACGCAGATGGAGCCAGTCTGTGTTGGGGGTGTGACGAGAAAGTTCATAGTGCAAACTTCCTGGTGGCCAAGCACTCCAGGAATCTTGTGTGTCATGTCTGTCAATCTCCCACCCCATGGAAAGCTTCCGGACCTAAGCTTACCCCAACTACTACTCTATCTGTATGTCACACTTGTGTTCATAACTACTACTCTACTACTACTACTACTACTACACAACATGACAACATCGGCGGCACACAACAGACTCCACCGCTACTAAATGAAGACGACGACGAAACTAGTACTGAATATGACGAGGAGGAGTACGAAGATAGTGAGGTAGAGTCTGATGGAGATGATGAGGAGGAATTGGAAGACCAAGGAGAGAATCAAGTAGTTCCTTGGTCCTCCACTCCTCTCGCCACTTCTTCTTCCCCAAGTGACGAAGAACATCAGCTCTCTTCCTGCACATCATTCTCGGCTGCACCTGTGTGTGAGAATGCACATCCCAATTGCCAAGTCAGTAATCTCTCTCCCTCTGAAGAAGATAAGAAGAACAAACCAAATGATTCAACCAGATGAAGCAGACTACTCTAGGACTGCGGCGACCATAGTTAGTGTTTGTGAAGTCAAAAGACACCAGCAGCAAAGCATAAGCACCGGAAAGGACGACGCATCGGCAAGCATCATGTACATATGCAATATCTATGCAAAAATACTGCAACTGCATGATTTCGTTTCCATTAATCCCGATCCCAAACCTCATCCCTCTTATTTTGTTTTGCACCTCTCTAACTCTAAGCCGTGTTGGTCTTCCATTGTACAATTCAAGCAACAGACTATTTTAATAATGCACTTAATTCCTGTTTAAATATCCATTAATTCCTCCAATTAACTGCTGCATGATTAGGAAATAGAGGATTAAAATAGAAAAAACCACCCCACAATAAATTTTATCCATATACAGCAATTCATCAACTTGGATGCTGAACGTGGAACCCATTTGGGACCATTTAGCTCCTCGATTCTCACTCACGTTAGATTAAGAGAAGAGAATATACACACACACTAATAAATAAATAATAATAATTCTTTGTTAGCTCACACACTCCTCCAAAAAAATTATTTGCGCTCAACATTGTGAATATATTAATAAATTTATAATGTATGTACACGTCGTTTTCAACAACTAGAGTTACTAGGTTCCATAAACTCCCCAACTTTTTTTCTTTAGAAGTTGCTTGAAGATGGAGGTAACAAATTGTTTTGTAAATGTGTAACAACTACGGATGACTCTAAAAACAACGTGTGGGGATATTTAAGTGATTGAAATAGAATCAATTAGAATTTGTTTAATATTATATTAAGAGTAGTAATTTATGTCTAAATCTAATAAACTGTTCAAGATCGGACACTACAATTAAATTATCTGGACACCCATCCAAATTTAAATAAGTGGGTCAGTAATGGATAAAAAGTGAAACCATTTTTCTCTCTCCTCTATATTCTCTCTCTTTCCCGCTTTTTTTTTTCTCTATTTTCTCTCTGTCTTCCCCCTTTTTTTTATCTCTCTCCTCTCTGCTTTCTTTTTATTTTTTCATGTGATCAGGGATGTCAACAAGTGGAGTTAGCGAAACTCTATTTCACCCCATTAGAAAATTTGTCATACCAACTATGCTTTTATTCTGGAACGGATTTATAATTGATATATCATTTTCGTCCAGTCCCTATTTCGACAGACAAAGTACTAACTCCGCCCCGTGTACTTCGTTTAATTACAGAGTGGGAGCGAGGTGGGACGGGTTATGTCATTTTTATTATTTAGTAACAAAAATAAAATAACCAAATGTGCTCAAATTCCGTCCAACCCCTATTTCGGCAGACAAAGTACTAACTCCACCCCGTGTACTCCGTTTAATTACAGAGCGGGGGCTGGGTGGGACGGGTTATGCCATTTTTATTATTTAGTAACAAAAATAAAATAACCAAATGTGCTCAAATTTTGCTAATAAATAAGCTGACTTAAGTTTTAAATTACTACGTAGTGAATATATATTAATATATTAAGTGGACACTTCCAACAAAATAACACAATTCTTTAATATATTAAATTTATATTTTATATATACATAAAATTTTTAAAGTTATATATAATCAGGGCGAGGCGTGTTCATCACTAAATTCGCACCGGCTCCAAACCCGCTTCGGTATTTAATTATTACCAAACCTGCCCCATCAGGAGCAGGCCGTGGAAACGGTGGAAACCCGCCGAGTTGGAGAAAATTGTCATCCCTACCTGTGATAACTCTCTATCTTCCCCCCCTCACTCTTCAACTTCCTACACATATAAATTTATAAAAAATAAAAAATAATACACGAACACAACAAAATTACGATAATAAAATAGTAATATAATTTTATTATACATATAAATATATTTCATAACCCTATTTAAATTAGTCCAATTAAATATTAAATATTTATTTTCAACAATAATCTTTATCTGATCACCAAACAACCATTAGTTCTCTTTCTACCCTTCTTCTCCCTCATCTATTCCAGTCCCTGGACTACCTAATATTTTCCCTTTTCTTTCTTGTTTCTGTCCGACTCTCTCTCCTTCCTTTTTAATAGGGCTGCAACTCGGGTGGGTTGAACGAGTTTGAGGTATAACTTGAACCCAACCCATCATATAAAATGTTAAATTCAAGCCCAACTCTAACCTTATCTTCAATCCAAATTACTCAACCCAAGCCTAACCCATCCTTTTATTTTTAAATTCGAGCTTGTAACTCGGGTTTAGATTTCTTGTTAAAACTTCAAGTTAATTCGGATTACTTATATGACTAATCTTCACACCGAAAATTCAATATGATCTTGAATTATTTTTAGATTAAATTACTCTTAAACAAGAAAAAGTTGAAAGACTTTTTGTAAAATTTTAACAAATTACAAACAAATTCTTAAAAAATTAATTCTCCTAAATGTTAACATACAATAAGTTAAGATTTAACAAAAGAAGTTGAAAAGAAAAAATGTGATCATAGTTTAAATATTATATATAATGTATTTTAAGGTAAAAATATATATGAAAATAATATTATAATTCGGGTTGAAAATTTTTAACCCAAACCTAACTCTAATTGTAAAAATAATTGTCCAAACTCGCTAAAAATCGGACTAAACTCGAGTTGAGTTCTAGTTTTCCAACCAAAATTGCACCCCTACTTTTTTTTTTCTCTCTCTTCTGTCTTATTCTCTCCGTCTCTCTCTTAATTTTTTCGGCTCTACGTCCCTCTCTCTTATTATATACAGTACTAATCTCTCTTCTATTTTTTTCCCATATCACCATACTGTTTCTTCAATTTATATTTTACTGTATAAAAAAATAAGGAAATAAATCACCACCAACTAATTAAAATAGTCAACGCTCCTTTTTCTACATATATATACACACACACACGGAGTATATATCAAAGCTCATTTATATATATATATATCCTTTTTCGGAAAATAAAAAAGGAAAAAAACTGTAATGCTAGAAACCTAAAAATTAATGAAAAACTGTTACAAGTTTAAAATATGTATACAAAACATGCTACTTATAAAGAAAAATAAATCATATATAGATTATTAGGGTTACTATATCCCTACCATAAAAATTGATCAAAATTACTCGATTCTCAAAACTTTTCCAAATCGAAAATTTCGAAACCTATTTACGATCGATCGAATTAAACAACTTTAATTCTTACACCACAAACTAAATCTTTTTTACTTTTTATTTTTTTTATTGATAAGTATGCACCACAAACTAAATCTTACTCCCCAAACCTTAAATTTTAAGGAGAAGGATTGAACCGAAAAAAAAAAGTGACTAAGGCTCTATTCTGTTTTTTTTTTTTTTTTTCACCGTTCTCTTTATATATATACAAATATGTGCTAAGGAAATCAAAGCAATCAAAACAAAATTAGCAAATATATAATGTATATGTATATATATTTCTCTCTCTCTATATATATATATATATCTCCATCTTTTCTTATAATTCTTTCCGTTTTGGGTCATTTTTATAGATTCGATATGTTGTATACGAAAGTTTTATGTACGTATATATTAGATGTTTGGTTTTATGTATGTATATATTAGAAATTTGGTAAATATGAATTTAACTGAACCTTCAAGTCAATTTTTTTTACATCCACCGAGAGAGTAATAATTCTATTATTGAATATAAAATAAAGTATAAATACAAAATTGTAATTTATCACTATAATCGGGGGTTGATCTTTCCCCATCCTACCCTATCCCATAACCATGGGAATCTTCAATATTAATCCCCATCACTGCCCCCAAAATCATTTAGCCACCCCCATAACAGGGATCGTATTTTGCTACTACTAAAATGAACCAAAAAAAAGAGTTAAAAATTAAAATAGAGAAATAAGCTTAATGATGAGGATAGTTTTGTCAATTAACATGATTGATATTTTGTGAATTATGACTTTTGATAACAAAAGAGCTATTGTTAAAAAAAATTGTTGACCCGCATATGAGTGACATTAACCAAAATCCCAGAGGGTGTTAATGCAATTTACCCATATATATATACACACACTGATATATAAAAGATTATGTCATATTAAAAATTGATATTACAAATCTGAAGTTTTTAATGCAACAACTATAATTATACATTGACTATAATTATTCCATGATACAGATCATCCATTTATCGCCCTACATGGTTAACACGGACCAACCGATATTCATGCATATATTATTACCTGAACGTTCAAATTCATTTTCCATACTAGGTAAAAAAAAATAAAAAAAAATAAAAAAATCAAATTTTGAAGACAAATATTTACACACATGTTGAATCTTAATTAGCCTAAGCCACTATCTATATGGACCATAGAAGGTCCTAATTGGCTAGATCAAGAACATTGCAAAACAAAACAGAACCGAGCATCAAGTACATATTAAATAAAATGGATTGATCCAACATATCACAGATTAAGTATGATGTTTTTGGTAGACCTGGTGAATTATGAATATAACAAAAACTCATCAACCATACAAGATACAACTTCCCAGAGTTGACATTCATAAGTGAGTACATTGTTCATATACATGACATAAATCCAACAATCAAGATTGACTAATCAGTTCTCAAACAAGTCATTTTAGGTTTGCAGACTCCAACGCCGTCTACACCTACAGCAGCAAAAGGCCAGAAACATCATAAGAGTTTCAAAGACATGGAGTCAACTGCCACATGATTAGAGACATAAATTTATAACAGATGGTTGCGTTATGTGGCTTGCAGTGTGCTTGCGTGTTGTTTCTATGGTAGTTAAATTTCGAGTCTAAGGCAAGAAAAACTAATGGGCTGTCAAGATCTAAATATCTAATTAGGAGGGACTGCTAAAACAATTTAGGAGACAGTTGCAAGGAAGGAGCAGGATTTCAAATATAGAAGGAAAACGCGAATCATTAGTGAGTAGGCACTTTCACATGATCTCGCACGCTCAGCAGCTAGATCGAGAATGCTATGATATTACACTCAGCTGCTGAGGTCATGAGCTCACTGTGAAAGTGCGCTCATAATAGAATAGATCTTACTAAAATGCATACCTGCAATTACGAGAACACACCCCGACCCCAAGTTTCAGCTAGGTTTCTGCCACAAAAAGAATAAACATACAATAAAGTCACTTTAAAAGGAGGTGAACCAAATAGAAACAAATTAATCTAGCCTCCAACCATAATCCTGAGAAGCAACACTAAATCAATTTCAAAAAAATCAAACCGTTGTTGTAATAATGATATGCATACGATAACAATTCCAACATATATAAATGCTACATTTTTGGTTAGTTTTTATAAGGAAGTTTAAGAAACATGTGCTTGTGTTTCAATTTTTTAAGTGACCCTGTTCTACTTTATCAAATAAAAATAAATAAATAAAGAGAAAAAAAATAAACAAAAAATAGATAAAAGACTCCAATTACAATTCAAAAAAAAAAAATGATGCAAGAAACAAATACGGAAGATCAGAAAATACTTGCTAAGAAGTCTCAAGAGTTCAACTTGCAGTTAGGACTCCCAACGCAGGACATGTTTAATTTCTCATAGAAATATTAAAGATACCATGATTTACGTAAACAAGTCAATTTACACACTCATGGCTGATTTTCTCGGATCAAAGCACTATAAAGTACCCATTCCATTGCCAATTTGCTTTTGAAAATAACAAACAGAACTAAAACATTAAGCTGTATTCTGCCTAGCTCCTAATGCTTCAGATCTTAAAGGGTAAAGTGAAGAAAACATTCCTAAAGTATACTCCACATAGTACTTTCACCTCCTATTTTAAAAAGTATTATTAACCCCCTTACTCTTTAAAAATTGAGCGGAATCACCCCTCAAATTACGTTTTGCAAAGATCTGACATAAGGTCATGTTGTAATGTCCATTTTGCCCTTTTACTCTTCCGAAAATGCCCAAGGAAGTGTGTATGATAATAATTTCATAGTAGAGGGGTGTTATGTGCACGATAACACAATCCAACATAAGCCGCCACCACAGCGCCACCGAGGAGCTCAGTCGAGTCGGCTCAACGGAGGTCCTTTTCATCGTCGTCCATTTCATTTCGTTTGATAAGATTTCAGAAAAGCACAATTCGAATGGGAAGGTATTCAATGTGGTTGATGGGTTCGGCGGCCAAGATCTTAATGGGTTTTTGAGAGAACAGAGGATCAAGATTGGGAAGATTCTGCATGGAGGGATTAATGCAAAGGCCAAAATTGTGCTCTCTGGACCTTCAAATGGTTCAGAAATACTTATAAATCACTACTAAATTTGATTTGTGTGACCAATAGGCATATTCATATTGATGTCATCTCATCATTGCGTATTGGTCACTTTTCCGTTTGATTTTTATTTTGGTGGATTATTGGGTTTAGAGTGGTATTGGGTGTATCTAATGTTATCTAATTTCATTTTCCTTAAAAAACGGTCTTAGGGTTTAAAATAGATTATAACTAAAACAATGAAGTACATCAATAGAAAAGGAAGATATATGTAGGCAGCCACTACCCAATACCAGCATCACCATCGAGTCCAATCGTCATTCCAGCCGAAAGCCCTGCGACACCGCAAGCAAGACGGACGAGACGCGGGCATAACCATCAAACAGGGTAATAGGATTTGGCCTTAGGGTTAATCCTTGTACTAAAATAATAACAAAAATATACATATACACACACACTGTGTGACTGGTTCAGCGCCAACTGTGAGGACGAAGGCAATGAGGTGACTGTGTTCGTATACACACACTGTGTGTGACCGTGTGTACCCTTTTCCGTCATTTCACAAAATCATGTTTTTTAAAATAATATGTATAATGCGTATGTAAGGACAATTTAGGCATACTCTACCTTAAATGTGTCAGGTAGAACTTATTTGCACAATATGATACCTTAGGGGTGTTTTCCGCACACGAGGGGTGTGATACACATTACACACTATAAGCATACTATAAAGGGTATTTTCTATACTTTACCCGATCTTAAATTACAAAATAAAAGCCTTTCTTTTGGTCAATTATCACGCTTTAGACAGTGAACTTATCCTCATCTCATTTGTCTGAAGTTTCCAAAATAGTTTTTCCGAGTTGCAAATTTTGGGTAAAATGTGATACAAGAGAGTTCTACAATATGATGGAAGTAGCTTACATAATGTGATTTCTAGAGTTGCATACATAATGCATACTGGTAATGGAATGGATGTAGTTACAACAAGTACAATCAATTGACCACTCTCAACGGAAGAACATTCCTCTCCATTTCCGAAGCAAAATGCTCCCTAGTTACATGATGGAGGCATTTACAACAAGTGCCAATAATCTGCCACCCTCAACAGATATGTAGCTGTTCACTCCAAACCACACCTAGCCATAATATCTAAGTATGAGTTCTGGTCCAGCTATCACTATCCAATGCCATAAAACAAGACCAACAGATTTGAAATCAAAGCCATGTACCTTCAATGAATAAGGCTACAAAGTGCATGATTCGTCTAGCAGACATTTTTACTTGCGTAGTTTCATCATGTTGTAATAGAAAAAATATCAGTCTTTTAGACCATTGATATTGCTGCATGATAGGAGTCAAGCCACAGAAACAATATTATACAGTCAACCAAACACAGCACATTCTTAAAACAAGAGGACACGCGTACAGCAAGGACAGGAATATATAGATATGTATTATGCTTTTCTATTATATACATGTACGCAAAGATGTTTGTACATGTATACAAATTTCTAGTATACTTTCAAGCATGTAGGTATGTGTAAAAGCATACTTATGATAACTGCAGGCACCCTTATGAAAAATATTGATTGCAGTACACTTCTCTCTTTAGGTATAAGTTATCAACAAAGACTGAACTATGTAGCAAAAGCACAAAAAATTAGAAATGGCATGTGCACAAAATACAAAACGGGTATGTTGATGCAGCAATCCTAAAGAAAAAAAGATATGGACTCGATGTGGACATGGCATTGTATAAATATTTTGTTGTGATCACTTCTGTTCTCCCAAGGTATAAGTTCTAAACAGGCTCTAAATTGAGTGCCAAAGACACAGAAACAAAATATGCACACAATACAAACAGATGCGTCAATACAGCAGATCCTAAAATGTTAGGATATGGACACGGCATGGATACAGCGATATATAAATATAAATTTCTGTGTATATACATTTATTGAATAAGAGAACAATATAATTTTGAATAATATAATTTATAGAGTTAATGATTAGACTAAAGAAATATCATAAAGGTTATAATATTAAATTTCCACAGCCACTCTCATGCTATATTTTTACGATTAGATTCTTAAGAAGTGTCCATTGCATTTTTACTTGTCACCGTCATGCATACAATTTCCATTTTTCTTAGAATAAGAAAGATTTGACACTTTTGAGTTTGCTCATATTGATTTCAGGATTATAGGACATTGTTTCTTCTAAAATGTGTTTGTGCTACATAACTACATAAGTCATTTTTTTGAAGTATTTGAGACATGTCGGTGAAGTGACCAAAATGAATTATGAATATGTTTATAAGGTGTCAAACATGTGTTTAAGACAGCACATTCGCCTCTATTGTATTCCTACAAAATGGAATTTTTAAGTTGAGAGCCCCTAACCTTCGATTCGATCCCACACAGAAACAGAACCTTAAAAGAAGGGTTTATAAATTTTAGAGTCTATATAAACCACCCCTTACATGCATTTCTTTTATAAATACTACAATATGCTTTTTCTATAATAGGAAGCCCGTCACTTTAATGAAATTTTACTTACTAGAAAAAATAAAATAAAAAAGAAAGCCCGTCACATTAACTGACAAGTCAATTGCATCTTGATGACCGCTAGAGAAGTGTTGGCTACAGGTCCTAAATTAGGGATGTTTTTTTAAACTATAGACGTGTCTTAAAAGTGGTCAGATATACATCCACGTGTGTCCATAAAGTGTCAATGGCCACTATAAGTATAAATATAAATAGCACATACACAAATCCAAGAGATGAACATAATACAAGGATATGCTGACACAAAAATAAAAAGAAAATAAAAAATATGAAAAGGGCCATGGACATGGCATAGACATGGCAATACATAAATGTAATATTTTTACAAGATACATCTACTATACAAGATGATTATCCAAATTTGGTAATTTTCTTTCTATAGCAGGAATTGTACAATGTGGAAGATGACACTAAACAAATATCATAAAAATAGTAACAATATAAACTATTATTCTCCTACAAACTTCCATTCTTATAATTATATTCTTATTATAAACTAAAATGTTTATTGCATACTAGACTGTTGGCGATCCATCAAATGTCGTATTTCTCAAAAAATAAAAATAAAAATAAAAATAAAGAAGAAAGGTTGGATACTTCTGGGCAAGTCCATTTTTGTTTTCAAAATTGTTGTATATGAAACCTTCTACAGATGTGCATGTGCTACATAAATTGTTTGTTAGGAATGTTTAACATGTGACATTCAAGAGGTTTCAGACACATGCCTAGGGGTGTTCACAAACCATCAGTGTACAACACGAGTGCAAAACCTTACTGTGTTCGTGCTTATTAAATACAACTCCTCCATAGAACTATTCATATGCAAGTCATATATTGATGCACAGCCACCGTGACATGAATAATACTCGCTAGGCAATTACTGAAGCTTATCCATTCAAGCATCCAGCAAAAAAGTTACTTTGGAAAAATTACAACTTAAAAGCATTTCTTTACTGCTATAAGAAGGGCAATTACTGAAGCTTATCCATTCAAGCATCCAGCAAAAAAGTTACTTTGGAAAAATTACAACTTAAAAGCATTTCTTTACTGCTATAAGAAGGGGAGTCCACATCTCTATCACATAAGATTCAACATTCATGGCAATCTGGGTAAAATTGGCCTGACTGCAGATTAGCAGCAATCAAATTCATCGAGTTCTCAAGAAAACAACTAACAATTTTACATCAAAGTGAACTGCAGATTAAAAGCATTTCTTTACAGCTATAGGAAGGGGAATCCACAATTCTATCACATAAGATTCAGCATTCATGGCAATCTGGGGAAAATTGGCCTGACTGCAGATTAGCAGCAATCAAACTCATCAAGTTCTCAAGAAAACAACTAAAAATTTTACATCCAAGTGAACTGCAGATTAAAAGCATTTCTTTACAGCTATAGGAAGGGGAATCCACAATTCAATCAAATAAGATTCAGCATTCATGGCAATCTGGGGAATATTGGCCTGACTGCAGATTAGCAGCAATCAAATTCATCTAGTTCTCAAGAATACAACTAAATTTTTTACATCCAAGTGAATTTCACCATGTATATTTGCCATCGCAACTGCTGAAATTGAATCTTATTGAATTTTCTAAAGGATTTTGAATCTCTCATCAACACAACTGATGAACTTTAATCTTATTGAATATTCTAAAGGATTTTGACTCTCTCATCAACCACCACCCACACTCTCTCGCAATAATTTTAGAGATGGATGTGGCACTCATCAAGCAGCAAACACCAAAGTATAGGACAATAGGCACAATTTAAATCAACTATCATTATGTTCCAAAGCCACTTTCTCTTTCCTCTTAAGCCTGATTAATTTTCTTTTATATCTTGGTTCCAAGCAATATAAATGTGAGATTTTCTTGCCGAAGCACTATACTCTTCTCACTTGCATTAAAATCACCACAACCTACTCATATGAAAAGGTCAATATATCAATGTCCTTCCCACCATGAACATAACAGAAGCTGTCCGTGCACACTATTGTCACAACTACGGATATAGTATTAATCATTTCTGAAGTAACAAAAAGAACAAACTGAGTGTGTTTCAATTTAATAGATCACTTGTAGAAAACATAAATATTTGACCTCCTAATCACTAGGAGAAAGTAATGCATTCAATTTAAGCCAAATATATATATATATATATATGAGAAACCACAATTACCAATAATTTTCAACTATACCAATGCAAACTAGAATAACAGCAACAGTTTTTTTTTATCAAAGTGTGACAACAATCTAACCTTTCCTATCATCAGTGGCATCATGATACACGAGTTCCTCCTCATCCTCCGCAGCGGATGCTACCGAGACAACAGGATCACCACCAGCATTATCCGCGTCTCTGTCCTCCGGATACCTCACAACCACCACCGGACACACACAGTGACGCACGCAGTAGTCGCTAACACTCCCGAGCCGCCTACTGTTTTCACCCCTTGTCGCCCCAAACCCACGGCTCCCCATGATCACAGCGCTCAACCCAAGCCTCTCAACCTCCAAGCAAAGCCTCTCCTTCATGTCGTGGTCCTTCACGATATGGATCTTGAAAGGTATATGTGCCTCCACCAATGGTTGTGAGAGATCGGAGGCTTTGGTGGCGGTGAAGGCGTCAAAGTCATCTTCCAGCTTTTGCTTCTCCGTTGTGTCGTCGACCATGGTTAGGTCGACAGATCCCCAGTCGGCGCCGTAGAGGACGGAAGTGGGGCGGACGTGAACGAGAATCACAGCGTCTCCTGGGCGGAGATAGTGATGGACCGCCCATTTGACGGCGAAGGCACTTTCGTCGCTTAGGTCGACTGCTATTCCGATCCGGCGTTGGGCGTTAGCCGTAGGGGTGTTGGTGGCAGAAGTGGTGGTGGGTTGGGGAAAGCGTGGAGAGGATGTTCTGATTTTGATGGCAGCGATTGGCGGGAAGTCAGATTCCGGCGGGGTTTGTTGAGGTTGCATCGTGTGGAACAAAAAATTAGGGTTTGTTCTTCACCTTCCTCCGATCGTTGACTGCGTAAGTTAGGGCTTTCTTTGGGGTGGCTTTTCTTCTCCTAGTGAGTAGTAAGAGTAGTAAACATGAGAATTTAGTTGTGGCGACGACTCAGTGGCGTAATGGCGTTGTCTACGTCTTCTTTCTTTTTCTGCAATTTTGGGCCTAAAAATAATTCTTTGGGCTGAAACTGACATAAGAGATGATGGTTTGGGCCACCTCCATAACACAGTAAAGCCCATGTAAAAATTGGCCATGGATATTGTCCTGTTTTGTTTGGTATGGTATGTAATAGTGCCCAGTTCATGCTTTGTCAGCCATTAAAAAATAATAATAATAATAATAAATTATTCAATGATTTATTATTATTATTATTATAATTATAATTATTATTTTTTACCATCTTTCAGTTCTCTGGTCTGTATTGTGTGTCTATATATTCCATCTTCTCCCTGTGATGGCACGCTTGAATTAAACCACTCCATACAGGAACAATGCAGTCAGTGGATTTACTCTTCCAACATGGTCATCTATACCAATTACTAGACTCTCATTTGAATATTCGAAGAAAGTCAAAAGATAAACATCTTAAAACGAAATACAATGAAAACACTGGATCTCCATTTTAGGCTAAGCAAGATAAGTTTTGTATTCCTCAACAAAAAATTCCCAATACTCCAAGGCTTTTAGTATACACTTTGATAGAATTCAAAAGCGAAAGTGTGTTTGGGAGATCTGTAATGCAAGTTTTGATCAGCATTTTTAGTGGATAAAAAAGCACTGCTACAAACTGCTAGTATCTGAGGTCTTGTGATTTGGGTCACATTTCTTGGCTTAGTCAACGTGGCATTCTTGCCTTACAAGTTTGATGGAGAGACTAGGACGGGAAGCAAAGAGAAGTAGGAGAAATTCTTTGTAGGAAAGAAGTGAAATGATTCTGCATATATGTCTATCATTCATAAATCATGTAAAAGATCTTTGCCTTTCCAGCATTGCATCACAGAGCCTTCACATCACCCAAACGTTATGTACTATCTCTTACAATATTTGCACCTTCAGAACTCCAGCTAGCAGTGACAGCAGCAACAGTTGCTGGATCTCTCTCTCGACAACACCCATGACAGACCTTCCTTCTAACCATTCCCATAATTGGTTTCCAATCTATCTTTCCGGAGTTGAGATTCACCGCCAAGTTTCTCGATCCCATGATTCAAAAACTCCACCAGAATGGAGAATGGGCTGAAAAGAATGCCAGCATGCAACGCTCTCACTATCTGTGGCTGATATATCCCACTATATCCATCAACCGGGCCATTACAAATGATTTCTCCCAAACTCTCTCTTGGGGATCGAAGGGTAAGAGTCTCAGAAATAATCTTTAATTTTCCATAAAACAATATACCACCCAAGTCTATTGGTCTTGGTCCGTACCTAATCCCATTAGTTCTACCCACCTCCTTTTCAATTTTCTCAAGTACTCCCAATAGTTAATGAGGCCCAAGTTTTGTAACACCTGCAGACTTGAGTTTTTATACACTGATTATCATGTTGACAATACATATATGCACAAATTAAAATTATAGGAAAAATAAATTATTAATAATAATGAAAAGGAAGAATGTGTGACTTTTAGAATCTGGACTCAATGAATCAATTTGAATATATATGAAAAGAATAAAAAACGAAACAGACACAGTCAGAAAAATGAAAACACTTTTTGTCCGCTTAAAGTTCATTTCATTGTATGCTCTCTCCAATGGCTAAAAGTTCATTTCATTGTATGCTGTCTCCAATGGCTAAAAGTTCATTTCAATATTTGCTCTCTTTCAATTGTTTCTCCTCAATATTTACACCTGATTGAGAACAACCGTTTCAATTCTTTCAATTGTTCCAAGTATGAGAACACCCATTTTTTTGCCAAATACTAGGTTTTCTGTAGTCTTAAACTCCCAACACACTGCAAAATGGGGAAAATACACTCGTTACATTATTCTAACCGCCTAAGTTAATTATTTAAATACAAAATTGGCACAAGTGATTTCATATCCAGTATGACCAATTGAGGTGTTCATAGACAAATTTTAGGATTAAATTTCTCTCTTTGAGTAAATTCACGAGCTCTTTTAGGCCTATATGTCTAATCTGACAACTCTTTTGTGGTATAATATGACTTTAAAAGTAAAGAAACTTAAAATTAGATTTTGAATTCGGATACAATATTGCTTCCAATTTATGGAATATCAGCAAATAAATTCTAGCTGGAGCTGAGTTTCCCGATTAGATAAAAACACAAATCAGAGTCATTATGGTAATCAAATTGTCAAAGTTGAATAAAGGTTACTCTACAAGAATTCATCAAACCTCTAAACCCACATTTTGTGGGCGCCAGCTGCTTGAAGATCTTCATGTCTAAAGTGGCCTTTCAACAACAAAACGTTGAAATTGATACGCAGCTGCCTTTTCACACACTGATCGAACACTTCAATCGCAAAATGCACAAATAGAAGTATTGTATGTATTAATTGATTCAAAAAAATTTCACATACCAACACTAAGATTCAAAAAACCATCTTGAAATCCTAATTCTTAGATTTGAAAAGGCCGAAACAAACACAAAAATTGAAAAACAAAGCTAGTACTAACCATAAATATATATGTTCAGCATATCCAAGATTCAAGAAGATCAACAAGAGACCCCAACAAAACAGCTCTGTAAAACAAGAAAAATGAATTCAGTATAATAATGCACATTGCGTTTTGCAAGGAACTAGAGAGAGAGAGGGGGGGAGGGCGAGTAGCTTTCCGGCCGGCGGTTTCAGGCTGTAAAAGTACAGCACAACGGCACCTCTGAAGATGTTGGATTTTTTGTTCCCGGGAAAAGAGACACCTAGTGGAATTGTTGTTACCACGGTAAATTGAGTGGCATTCATTAGTCAAGTACCTAAAATGCCCTTCATCCCCATGCAAAAAGATACTTGTAAATTGAGTGGCAGAATAGGGATGCAAAATTTGTTCACGTTGAAAGCCCGTGTCCCTGTAATTATCTTGAAAAACTCTATTTTAGAATAAACTTATATTTTTTACTCCATATCGGAGTAATTACAAGGACAAAACTCCATGTCAGAATAAATGTCCCCTTAAAATAAATTAAATTAAATTAAATTAAAAATTAAAAATCAACGTAGTGTCAACTACACATGAGCTGGAATCCTCAGCATTGGCCCAACCCAAAAACAAAATGTATGAGAGAGTGCGGTTTTTAGTGAGGAATTACTAAAAATAGTGTAGGAACATTTTAAAAATTTTAACAAAATTTGTAAGTAATACAAATTTTGTAAATTAAAAAAAAAAAAAATTCAATAGGGTGAGGCCCCCACCAGGCCATTAATGAGTCCGTGCCTAGTTGGGGCCTAATAGAATTGTACAACAAATACAATGGTCTCAACTCATAAGTACGAGTGTTGAGATTTATCCATACAACAATACTATCACTTCCTAAGAATGTTCCATCCTCTCCTCTCTCTTGAGCTCTCAAATTGACATCTCATGTACTCATCAAACCAACTTCACAGGTCTCCCTCATGAATACAAATTTAGTAAGTTTCTCTTTTATTTTCAATTTTTTGTGGCATATTTTGTACCATTTTTATTATTAAAAAAATAATTAAGTTGGGATTATTAAATTTTGATATCAATTGGATAGGAAGTCCAATTATTTGATAATGGAGTGTAAGTGAAGTTTTTCTCTTCTGTGTTTTTTTTTTTTTTTTTTTTGATAAATTAGGGGAGTTAGGCACTCTACCAATTAGGACATTAAATGAGCAATGCGGAGTTGAAGTGAAGTTAACTTTGTAAAGTGGATTAGGACTGGGTCTCGAACTGCAACTTTTTCCAATCCAAGAGAGAATCCCAAATATGTATATATATATATATATATATATATATTGTACGTAATTGATACTCACACACAGTTGTCTTTTCTATATCGCTAGGCCACTGACCCGTTGGTGTTTATATGAATATATATAGTTCTAAAATAAATTTGTTTTTAAAAAAGAAAAAACACAAAAGTCATGGGTTGTTAAGCGTTTATTCATTATTATGTCAACATTAAAATTTTATTAAAGGTTTCATTATTTTATTCAAAAGTTTTAATCGGGAGAACAGGCAGCAGGGCTCTGTGTTTTGTCAATCCGTAACTGATCAACTCGAGAAGAATAGGAGGACTCCTTTTTTTCTTTTTTGGGTAAGTCACAGAACTCTTATTTTAATGGTTTGATATAGTCATTTTACGTATTTATTTATTTTGTGAAATTTTAAATTGTTTATTGAACAGTAAAAAGAAAAGAAAATTGATCTGAATTTAAATAATGCTTATGATTTGCGAGCAATCATTCTATCCATCTTAAATATTCATTTTCTTTTCCTAAATCCCATTTTAACTCTTTGAATTAAGACAACGTACTCATGCAACTTAATTTTCTTTGCTAAAAATTAAAAAAAAAATAAAAAAGAGAGAGAAAAAATTCCTTGAGAAATCCGACCGATGGTTCATTTGAATGTTTAATTGGATATCAGTACTTATGGTTCATTTGGATGTATGATTACGTAAATAATTGGTTATTGGTGTTAGATTTGGAGTAAAAGTGAAGGTAGAGCTACATTTGAAAGGTATATTTTATATAAGATCATTGTGTAGTTATAAATAGAATTTTACATTGAGATGGATTTGAATAATATTTTCTATATTACGATTTGAAATCCACATAATAAGACGCTAAAATCATTCCAATTGAAAGTTAAATGAAAATGATTAAACTAAACCAAAAATATTTCTTGGAAGATTAAATCAAAACCAGCTCATTTAAAGTATTTTGATGTTATGTTTGATAACACCGAATCGGCCTCTTGAATTTAGAATTAAAAAATATTTGTATCAAATTTAAACTAACTCTTCTAATTTCAAATTTAAGACACCAATTAGAACCTCTCAAACTTAACATAAGCCATGATGTAACTTTAGGATTTGACACAAAATGAGATCACACCTCGTAAATTATCGGATTAATAGTTTGAAAAAAAAAATAAAAAATCAGGAGAATGGTGATCACACAATAATAG